GGTATATACTCCGGTGCAAAACGATCAGGAAAAACGCTTTCTATATTTGAATTGATTTGTTATTCTTAAGCTCGACTCGTGACATACGCAGGACCTCATTTTGGCTTGATCGCACGCGCAATAACTTCGTTGTGAGTGAAGTCGTCTGATATTGCGTCGCATGTTTTTGCACACTATGTCAAAATATTCCCTGAAATCGCGTGGCTGTGTGAGTGGACTCTCGGAAATGCCGTGTTTACCGCCAGTAGTATTTGCCCGCAGTAGCCTGAGCTACAGACAACATTCCCTTTACCGCATCACTGAAATGATGATCGACTTTGGAGTGAACCAGATCTGAGTAACAGTAAGCCGCATCAGTCAACTCTTATTAAACGTTGTCAGTGCCTAGGCCCGTCCAAATCAACAAGCTTGATATCTTTTAAATTAATGTAGCTGCAATGAGTTTTCATTTTACACATTTTTCTGCATTTTTTTTACTCTTCTTCGTTGTATGAAACCTGTTTTACGCTCCCATCTAGTTAAATGCACTGAAAAGTGCATGTTTTTAAACATTTGAAATTATCCAAGCAACTACGGGCGCTGTTGCTGTGACATCATCTAGGGAAGACATGGTTCAGTGCATAGGTGTTTCTGTTCAAATTGTGAACCCAGCATTTACCTACTGAAAACATCTCTGAGAGAGGGATTGATATTTTATGATTGCTGTGCACATGAACAATGAATCAGCAAAGAAGAGAAAACTGAGTCCAGGAAAATCTACAAAAATGAAGAACTTTTTTGTACAAACCAATGCAACATTGAAGCTTCTTCCTGAGATGATATCACAGTTTTGCTCATGCATATGGAAATCTCATTGGCATAAAACCAAAAAGGCGTTAAAATACCCTTTGAAATAATGAAACAAAAGTTGAAAATAAGGTTAACTGAGGTTTGGAGATTTGTGATCACAAAAATTGATTGCAGCTTCCCTTTAAGACAGTCTGTGCATCCATTGTCAAAAGTAATAAGGGATGTATTGGGGTCAGTCGTAATATTACGATTATTTAGTTAAATGTTAGACAGTCATTGAAAATCAGTTTAATTGTCAGAGGTTGTTGCCGGACATTGTTTGGAAGACTTCTGCTGACAAAAGTATTTAAAAAAATGGCCTCGAAATGCGACCGATCAATATTGGTCTGGCTTGCCCAATCCAGATTACCCTCAGTGGCAATCACATGCATGTACATGTGGGTCTCACCATTAAAAGACTCAGTGAGTGCGACTGCATGATTAAAATGATTTGCAATGATTAAGGCATGGAACTTTTACTGTACAGGGTGTCCTGGTAATGAAATGCGAATGGAGGACACGTGAAAAATGACATTTGATGATACCTGTTCCATTTCAGGCATAAGTCGAAGACATGTCCTTCATCATTATCCAGCGCTGTGTGACCATTGATTGGTGCCTCGCAGTTATCAGGACGTAAATGGCCAATTCAAACGTGCGGTAAACAGCTTGACGTAGGCAAATTGGGAACAGTGCAAGCTCGAGATTGTGCTAATATCCCTGGACGGGGATATTGATGAGTGCAAGCAGAAACCAAATACCTCGGCAAGGCCACGGATAATATGCCAACGCACGCGGTATACGGATCACAAGGTTTAGTAGGACTCAGCCTCGGCACAGGAGTGTTGACGTCGAAAAACTGAAAATGTAAAAAAAAAAAGAAGGCGGTGCAACGAACTCAGGAAAAGCAGGACAAACAAGTGTCTGGATATGAAATAGATTTGTACACATCACGTCGCATTCCCAAACTAAAATTCGAAATCCCTAAACACCCAGCACTCTTTCTTCTCCAGGAAACTAAGGAGCCTGGATTGCTGACGCTGCAATTTGACGCGGAAGAGTCTTGTGGTAAGACCTCGTGAGGTTCAACCAGAGGGTAGAAATCAGAGTCCTCGGTACTTGTATCACTTTTCTTTCGTAAAGGAGGGGAAATTGGATCACTGGAGAGGGATTGGTGGACCTTAGGGAAGCTTTTGAAAAAAATTGGTTTGCAGCAGGCAACGAAGAATCCTTCGTGACCGCACATAACACTCCTTGAGACAGAATAGTAATTATCGAAATCAAGGGAAATCTTCAGGCGAGACGCTTAAAGAACCAAGATCAAGTTCTCTGTACTAGTCTTCGAGGGGAAAAATATCCAATTTATGTCTGAGTTTAGTTTTGATTTTCTTTGAGTATGTTTGATAAAACTACTCTCGAGACCCAAGACAAACACCCAATACAAGCAGAATGCCAACTCTGTTTTTTTTTCGATATCACTGTATTTTTTCCTGAACGATACTTAGGCCTAATTCGTTTGAGTGCAGGCGAGTTGCTTTCGTTTTGACTTATCTTTCTTTCACTACGTGGCATTTTCGTCAGTCCTAGACCAGGAGCTGGCAAAGCGCAGTGATGGTGCCTTTATAAGCATAAAGCGAGACAACCATTAATGTCATCCTTCACGTGAGACGGATCATATCCCAGGGGCGGATCCAGGAATTTTTCCGGAAGCCGGAGAATTCTTTATAATGTCTTTTTTTTGCAGACAAGCAGAAAGATGATGAAACATTTGACACCGAAACATTACATTTCAAATTTGACACAGAAACATTACATTTCACATTTGACAGTTTTTTATTCATTATTTTCCTAATTTTTTAATTTTTTTTTTTTGGGGGGACGGGGGGTCGACCCCCTCCCTTGGATCCGTGCCTGTATTCCCCAAGGCCTCAGTGTCAATGACTGAGTCCTTTCAGTTGGGCATTAGTTTCTCTTTCCGCAATCTGCACGTCACAAGCTGCACGTGTTTTTACCTTTTTGAGTGCACGGTAAGACAGAAGTTGTTTGAGGCCTATTGCAGTCTACAATTCCTTTCCTGTATACAAATTCCTTTTGTATTCGAATGGGTGTTTTCACGATATCGCCCCGTCGCACCAGAGAGGAAGGCCAAATTAATTATCGCTTTCTGGCTGACATGCCGATGGTCAGAGCGCAGCGAACGCTTGCTACGCACGATCTGTTTCACAACTACGAAACCCTTTGTACCGTATGATCGCCGCCTCAATTTGTCGATAGTCATTTGCATCCTTGAAACTTTGTGTACTGAGGTATGGGAAATGGAATATTCATGCCTCTTGTTGGTGCTTGTATGATCACGAGACAACATCAGATTTAATGCTTGCGCAGTTGCTTACATTACGCTGTGTGCCCTAAATCTTTATGTACAGTCATTGCCCTCAATGCGCTCTTTCTTCTGGGGTTATTTTAAGAATAAATAGCCAGGTTGTTTACAAGATGTTGTGTTTTGTTTGAATCATTTTTATTATGGCGTTTGTACATAAACGTAATTTATTAGATTTACGAGTCTTTTAACACTGACGTATTGGACGGAGGAGAATAAAATTACAAACTTTGCATAGATAATGGAACAGTTTATCAAAATTTAAAAGTTTATTTACGATTGCAAAAGTAGGTCTAGTATCAGGGATTTTTCTCTCTTTATTTCCTGGTCACAGCGATAATTTGTATGTAATTGCAAGCAGAAAACTACAAGTATTGCTGGGATATTACTGGCCCCGCTTGTCCGGCTAAGATGCAGGCAGTGATCAGGCACTTTTGGAATGTTTTCTATTATTTGTCTAACTCTGCGGCGACGATCACTGAACACTTTGAAGTGCCGGAGTTGCAACTCCTTCTGTGTCCTTCCTCTATGGTAGCACATACATATGAGTTTTGTGTTTGTCAAATATCAACGTGTCTCGATGCCTATTAAGACTTTAGGTTGAACTCCCTCGGAAGTCAGTCCTTATATAAACGCTGGAGCTGTCAAATGTTCCCTGAAACACTGTGCGCACTTTTTTTAACCACATCTTGGCAACAGTCTGACAGGGTAATTATTCTGTGCTGAAACGATCACCATAAGCGAGTATGTAAACAAGCAGCCGTCAGTTTCTAATTTCCCACTAGACACAGAGGAAACCTTCGATGACTCTGTGGAATTCCACAGTAGTGGTTATAAATATTATTTTACTCACAACTATACGGAAATGATTTTACCTTTCATTTACATTATTGAATAAAGTATTGTCTATTTCGTGTTCTTACTGCAATTATTATTTAAGGCAGTCACTGTGGGCACCTTTGGTTGGATTTTCTCCTCTACAAATATAGTTAATATAGAATAAATGAAGTTAAAAAACTGAATAGTTATCCTTGTGTGTATTTTTTCGTAATAACGAAAATTGAATTCATGTCTTTGAATAGGAATTAAGCCCTAGTGTCTTACACCAAGTTATAAATGCATTCTATAGTTTGCATAATATATCATAATAACGACAGCTACATAATAAAATCGCGACGGGACGGTAACATTCTTGTCACTGTATCCACTTGCGAAGAAAGGAGACTGGAAGTCTCTTTTACTCATTACCCCATGAATTTATTCGCAGACCGCTGATGGCCGTGAAAAAGTGGAGAAAAATTAAATCATACATTATTAAAGTATAAATTAAATCCACAATCAGACAATTCCAGAAATTCAGAAAAACTGAACCAATCACGATCGAAGTCTCCCGGCAGCGTTATCAGTCACCGAGTTTTGATGGGTACAGTGGTTGGTTAACTTAACTACATATAGGAACTCCTAATATCATATAAACTTAGAATCGTTCCTTGAGTGAGAAGTCCGCAGTGCACACGGTGATGGGGCGAACGGATATATGCTGTGTTTCCCGTGGCTTACAGAGTCTTATCGGGGTGCTGGACGGATAACGAATGGCAAATTTATTTACATCAGTGTTCCATAACTCCTTATTAAAACCCTAAATTAATATTTTTATAATCACTACAAAGGTCTGAAGCAAACATCGCTGGCAATCAGAATTATGGTAAGCGAAAGTATGGAATAAGGGCGTTGCCCCTGCGGAATATGCCAGATTATTTTGGCGTCAACTGGATCGCCTTTGCAGCTAGAAACTCTCGTATACAACGTAGGCCACAGAGTTAAATTGGAGGTGAAATTAACCCTCGGAAATATAGCTGCTGTTATGAAACAAAATGTACTTACAAGAGGAGGCTACAGAAATGGGACGTAGACGAAATGCGTCGAGAACGTGGACACAACTAAATCCAAAATGCTCCAAGCCCGACTACATGGCAAACAGGCAACCAAAGGCATTACGTAATTTCGTGCTGAAAATACCAACAGGTGTGATCAAGGGAAGACTGACTGGATTTTATGGGGACTATCATGTAAATGGTGACTCCAAATAGGGGAAATATTCACTCAAGGAAAATATTACGCAACGGAGTGAAAGACATAACGGTGACGATAACAATTCTTGTCAGGATTGTTAGAATAAATTTTGACATGAAATTTATGCCACGGCAATACGAAGTGTACTTCCGTATTGCTTTTACCCAAATACCAAAAGGGAACCCGTGAAGGTTGTCGGACTAAAGAATTTCTGCCTAATTTCACTTTAGCCATATTAAAATGGTTTATGTAATCTATGAAAACAAAATGTATACGAATACTTCATTTAACATAACATAACTGCATATGCTTTTATGATTGTACGCAGAATCTGGTGTGCATAATGCAATGTGAAGGCCCAAAAAGTAATGTTTAACTCTTAAGTTTAATTAATGATAATAATAAAAATATTTTCATATAGCGCTTTTGACTAAGATGAAAGAGCTTAACATTTTGACCCCTCCCCGGTCATTGAGCAAATTAAACATTCCGAATACCATCTCAGCCAGCTCCGTGGGGGGTATTCAGCTCAATGCTGCCATTTCGGCGCAAGACAGCTAAATCCAATCACAATATCTGCTCTCACAGGTACCCATTGACTCCTGGGAAAGGAGAAGCAATGAGCGAAAAATTAGTGCCTTTCCCATGGGCACAAATCCCTGGGAGACAGGGGGTATATATCCTCCACTGTTGAGGTGGGAAGGATGGGAAATTGAGATACGCCCCCACACACTTTTTTGAGGTAAGCAAAAAGTTAAAGCGGATTGTGAAGAATTTTTTGGACTTCCATCTACTCAAATGTATTCATTATCACTCAAAAAATGGAAACCAATTTTAAAAAGCCATATGCCATTCTGAATACATCAACGTCATGAACATCGACTTCTATTATAGAGTCATATGGTACCATCCCCCCGCTTTTCAAATTTCCTGGCGGGGTAAGTCATCCCCCACCCTTCCCCATCCTCTATCCCCCATCTGCCCAATTTCCGGCACATATTTACGTCACTGGCCTTGCCCACACACACCCTAATCCTGAGCTGCACTCGAAAAACTCTCCAGTCAGATTGACCCAGAGTAGGGTCCCATTCGGCGTGACCCTTTTCCGGGCCAAATTATGACCCAGAAAGGGGGTCATTTTTGGACCCAGAAAAAGGGTCACGCAGAACAGGACCCAATTCCGGTTCAATCTGACCCGGGAGTTTTAGAGTGTAGATTCAACCCATAATCTGCAGAATTACACGCAAACAACGAACTCAGTTGCCTAGACGACTAGGCCTCAGCACTCCACTGTACTTTTCATCGCAAGTCCTATTTGGACCTATACTGAAAATTACCTTTGCATGTGCTAGTAGTCCCACGTTTAAATTGTGTACGGCCAAGGCGCATGTGCCTTCTTCCCATCGCGTTCAATACGTATGTAATGTTTCATATCAGTATATGAAGCTTTTTGACGGAAGGAAAATGAAACACTCTAAGAAATTCGCCTTTCTTTCATTTGTCTTTTTTTTGGGGGGGGGGTACGGCCCAGTTTGCTTCCCCCTTATCCGCCCTCGTACATTCCCGTTGTTTAACATCAGATATTGCGTGGTCACTCTGGCATCAACTGGCTTTGCCTGTTTTGTTCCGCATTATGAATCGAACAACAGCTCCGAGGAAACAACAAGATATTGAAAAGGTTACAAAGATTTCATGAGCAGGCCTCCGCCTGTAACCCCGTGACTAGTTCGAAGGCGCCAGCGTGGTGCAGATATGACGTCACGATTTTAATGTCATCAGCGTAGCGAATCAGGACTTGTGTGTTCTGTGCATCACGTGCGGTGATGCCCACTTAATAATCACTGGTCATGTAATTGCAAATATAATATCGGGTGACCATTTCAGGTGATCTCAGAAACCAAGGGGCGCTCCCGGGGGGCTGTGCTCATGCTCATCAGAAGCTACAAGTGTTCAACGCTGTGAGACACCCGACATTGATATTGCCCAACGATGGTGCCGCAGGGCGCGGCAGAGGTGGTGGGACTGGTGACGGTGTCCATGGCACAAGCACCAACCGTGAACGACTCGCTCAACTACAGTTTGCCAGCAGAAGACGACGACTATAGCAGCTCCAACTACTACTACTCATCTGCGTACTACATCTACAACAGCATCTTGTTGCAGCAAAGGATGGATTCCTGGGCTCCAATCGTGCTGTTCTCTGCCGTCTTTCTCATCGGTGTTCCCGCCAACGCCCTCGTCATCTTCGTCTTGGCGCGGAACAGGACCAGCACGTCCAACATCAACATGTACCTGCTGAACCTGGCGGTGGTGGACTTCGCCTTTTTGCTGTTCATTGTACCCATCAAGTTGAACACTTACATCGTTTCGTCCCGGCACATGTGGAACTTGGGCACAGCCATGTGCAAGCTGAGCATCTATGTGGTGTACGTGAATATGACGGTCAGCATCCTGACTCTAGTCGCCCTGGCCATCAACCGGTACAACGCCGTCATGCGTCCCGTCAGCTGCCGAAGCAACAGGTGGGTGTACGGCTCGTGTATTCATTGTGTTTGTGGTGAAAGTCCAGGGAAAGCAGAAGGGGTGGACATTGGCTACATCCTTTTGAAAAAAAAACTTATTTTGTCCTCCCTTATTTGGTACCTACTTTCGTATACAGACTAATGTTGTTGATTGAAACACTCACGCAAAACCAACCCAATTTATGAACCGAATCGGGCCTGAAACCGATCTTAGCTCCCCGAGATCCGACTCGATCTGACAAAAATTAACGAAAATACCAATCTGAACTGACACAGCTCCAAACCCACTTAAAAAGACCATGTGGCACAGGCAAATTGCCATATAATTTATCCACCTGTTATGCTTGAACCTATCTGTGTTGAATGAATTCGTGATTTGCTGCAATGTATCTCCTTTGCTGTCCCAATTAGAGTATAGAAATTGACACCGTAGGAAAAAACAACGTGTCTTAGTCATTACCGGGACTAGGTGACTATGCAGTATACACAGTGATAATTCACCATGCAAATGACCGAACTGGGTTTTTTCTCAGTTTATTTGGTATTTTTACCAAGATGTTTTAACCGACCCAACCCCAAAATCACAATCGACCTGACCCGGCCAGACTGAAGTGCTGGGGAAAGCGACCCGATCCAAAGTCGGTTTCGGGTCGGCTTCGGTTTCGAGTGGGGTTTGCACAACACTGACGCAGACGTCGACTCTGCACCTCTAAAAGCACGGGATATATTTGCTTCCCTCGTTCAAAAACGTTCCACCGCTGTTTCAGAGTTCTTTGATATCTAATCAAGTCTAATCAGGTTAGGTTTGTATTCACGATAAGTAAGCGTGCACGAACCTGATGTTGTCTGATCCATGGAACATTTAATTTTTTTTTCAGAAAGTGACAGTAACGTTTATGATTCAATCATTGGGGATTTGAGTGTCAGACTGACAATCTGTTTCTTTGATTAATTTTGTTTAAAAACTTGGAGTCATTTGAAAGTTCTTATTATTGTCCTACACTGGCCTTAATGAGACACTTGGCCTAACGAAGTTTTGCATACCGAGGAGCCAATCAGCCTACCGAGGCAAAACGTCTTCTAAAAAGACTTTTCACTTAAATTCTGCAGCCTCTCTGCATTATCATTTCGAAAGTTAGGTAAAACACGATTCCCTGTAATTTCGAGTATCAGATATTCTACCATCTTTTTCACAACATATGCCTCATGTTTACGCGCTTAAATTGATACTATTTAGCGAAGTCGGTTGGAGCTACAAATGTCGATGTATACGTGACATGTTTAAGTCGTGCGCACGCGTTGAGTATTTTGATACCTGTTTTTGTGTGACTCAGCTGAACCCTAATGGCTTCATGGCTAAAGTATACAGTTCGTCGATTTTTACCTCCGTACCAAAAGTGCGAGCGGCAGGTGCGAACGTGCTCCCACTCCTGGTTCAAAGTCACTGCAGTTTCCTGCAGCTCGACGCCAATGAGCCTCGAACTGGACCAAGCCGGGGCGCAATTTTCTTAGCAACGAAGGCTCCTTTGGTCGGAACTGACCTTCACTGGTTCATGAACGGCAGTGAAATGCACACGAAACGATCGCATTGCTACCAACAAAATGAACACTCCGTACCAATATACATTCCATCGCTAAAAGCTCGATTATCAGCACTCTTTTGAGTTTTTTCGCCGTAAAGCTTGACTGCCACAGTCTGTGTACATTTTTGGACGCCGACGCAAACGAGTTCAGCCCTTATTAGTGACGTCGCGCATAAATTAGAGACAAGGTGGTTGTTTTGAATAATTTGTTCCAAGAAACGCCCAGATGATATAATATCGTTATGAGAAAATTTATGCTGTCCGAACCATGGATTTAATGGGGTCACAAAATTGCTGCCTGGGTTCTGAAAAACAACCCCAGCAGAGTCTGAAGCCGTCTCAGGCTTCTGTCTAGCAATTCCACAAAACGGATACTTTTTCCCAAATGAGTTTATCCAGGATCCGTTTTAATGTAACTTACAATGTCAACATGAAATTTGATTCGGTCTAGAGTCTCCCGATGTTAAGCGTCAATAACACGAACTCTGAGCGGCGATGAACGCTCCAAAAGACGGCAAAAGCACGTTCCACGAAAGACAGCCGGCGAGGCCTGCAGTGGCTGACGTCTTGCCGTTTTGTCGACACTTTGCTTTCAAAACAAAGTTTGTTTCCATCTTCAAGTGTAAATGCTTTTATTCGCATATACGTGCATCCATGTAGGTTTTTGTTCCAGGAGCAAACCCACACTTAAACTGTGTTTTGGACGTTCCCCTTAGAAATTATTAAGTCATTACTTTGTGCATGCTTAAATAGAACATTTTGATTGTACCATTACAAAGAAAACTTTTTAAACAAATAATTGACACTTCCAAAATAATTTTAAAAAGAGTAGAGTAAAAACGGAAAATACATTTAAGGGATAAAAGCCCATACTGTTTTTAGTGGGAATTACGCAGGGCACTGCAACAATGCAATAATAAAACTAACTGCGGGGTTATTATTATGTTGGGGCTACCATGCACTAAACCAAGAGGAATAAAATGCACGAGCAAAACAAACAATAATACATGTAGGCGTTCCAATATCTAATGAGAGGAAGATAGGATTTTAAGCATGATGGAAGTGTATAGACTGGTTTGGTTCACGGTGACACTATGCAGGGCAAATCATCTTGAAGAAGGCTCCAAAGCGAGCCGATACTTTGGGACTCGACAGTGTGACCATACTCTGTTTTTATGAAGTCGATTATCGGATACATTACACGTAGGGCCACAGACACGGGCAAATCCAGGTGTGGGTGCGTGAGAAGAGAACGGGAGCCATACCCCCACGTACACACAGAAAGGCGAGGGGGGTTAAGTTTTTGAAAAAAATTGCAATTTTTTTTGGGGGGGGACACGCTTTCATTTCCTATTTTAAACCCTCCAAAATATGCCACCTTCCCACAAAATTTGATTCTGAATTCGTCCTTGGCGCCTAACATTTTTTGGTTTAAGCTGACCAGCTGAAAAGGTGTCCAAAATTCCACTCCAATCTGCTGTCCCTTTTTTTAATTGCCTCCCAAAAAGGAATCACCACGTTTCCAAATTGCCGCCTGTAATCAGTCAGAGGCGCTCTTTTGAAAATTCAGAGCAACTAGGCGCACTCACTCTGGAAAGCACACTACTTGGGTCACATAACATAAACATCTCCGTGACGTAACACAAAACTGCACTCCATTAAAAGAACCTTTAGGTCTAAAAAATGCTATTAACAATCCAATTTCCCCGACTTACAAAAACAGAAGGTACGCTTGGGCACTTTAAAGAGTTACGGAGAGCCAAAGTGGTGTTGTGGTAACACGAAGTACATTTTATCTTTAAGTGACTTAAGACAATAGTAACAATACTCGGCGTTTCAGCGATGTCCAAATCAAAGCACGCCAGATCTGAGAAGTTGGCTGTTTGTTTTCAGTCAAGGCGCAAACGTAGGAGTCAAATCTGAAGTCTTCAGGTGGCTCCGGTAGGTGTCAAGAGCCTCCCCCAGCCCCTTAGCGAGTGGGCATTTCCCTCGCAGGGACGACGCTGTATTACCCAGCCCCATGCCATGACAGCCGATAGCAATAAGCCAACAGCAGTTACAGCAGGCATGAAGTGAGCAGCCCATCTAAAAGACGCGCTATCGGGCTCTTCGAATTGCCACAACCAATGATAAACATTCCGTCTTGAGTTTTTTTAACAGACCGCGCCGGAATGTGACACTAATCTTAAAAGGCTTTGTTCACGGGGAAGCCATTAGCCATATTTTATAAATCATGTTCACTGAATCTGTTTTATTCAACGAGGGTGATGCCACATTACTGGGGTTCCAGGCCTCAGTTTCATTTTTTTAAAAGGTGGCTTAAAACATTTAGTCACAAGTTTTTAACTATTCATTAGTGTAAATGGGCATTTTTTTGTAATGAACTTGTAATTCACTTCTTTTTCCTCCGGTTCCTGAAATAGAAAGATGACCTCCTTTCAATCAATATGACCGGCTAGTGAATAAGGGTAACCATGAGCTCACCTCCCTTATCTGAGCCTTTCCCTCCAATGCTTACTCATGTTCTCCGGTATCTGTCTCTCCTAATGGGGCGAATTGCTCAATAGGAAAGGAAGCGTGTATTTATGGGCATTATCGAACAAACGTCTTCCTGTCGCCAGACGATTGGAATTGCCTGTAGAGAATACGTCCAGTTATAAGAAAGGCCATCACATATTTCGTCATTGCTTTTGATAACACTTGTGTTTATGGCCAGCAAAGTTTCTGTTTTCTTTTTCCCGGCTGTTTTAATAAACAGGAGCCGGGGGCCAGAACCGACCTTTGATATTTTCCCAATTATCGTCGCATAACATTTTTTTCAGCGCTGAACCTTCAGGTGTTTTATAGTCTGTCTTGCGGTCACTGTGACATCAATTATTTTGAGAAAATCGGTCACGCTGTTCTCGTTCAACGCTGATTCTACCAAAACAGGTCAGCCTGAAATATTTCCACTGACATGCCCAACGGAGCCGGCCAACACGCGTGGCTGTGTGTGTGTAACTACTGCAAAGCGACTGGACAGGAGAACATGCGAGTGGCGCAGCCACGAGGCCTTTTCCAACTTGATTTGGAGGTTTTTGTGGTGAATTATCCATAAGCTTTCTAATATGCATTATTCATAAATTTCATGAATATAGTCGAAGCAGACGAGTCTCCGAAATAAACGTCATCAACTCCAACGCTTACGCAATGCTTCCATCTGGTTTTTCATGGGGGCAATAAGCAGTGAGATGACAACTATGATGCTTGTTGGTGGGGGATGGTGCTGACGTTGGAGTAACACTAGCAAGTAGCAATTCATCAAGGCCGAATGGTCAAGCCAAAAAGGCAGTGCTTGAAATACGGAGCTCTTACCAATATCCCGTGGGTAGAGACGGAAACGTCACGCCCGCATACAGATGCTTCAATAGCGTAACACTGCAACGGTTTAAACTCAGCAAGGTGAAGTTTGCCAGCAGCATATTCTAAAGAACTGTCCAAATACTGCTCAGACAACTGACCTGCACTCACGGCCGCCGACACACTTGACACGCTCGCCATCTTTCGTATTCTTTCAATTTGCATAACAGGTCAATGTGTGCTGACCCCCTCGCTTATGATTGGTTGGGATTTTTGCTACCCCAACGGGGTAGCAACGGGGTAGCAAAAATCGAAAACATAAAGAAACACGTAAGAAATTCCTGACAAGTTGGAAAAGGCCTTGTGGCTACGCCACTCGATCGTGCATGTGGTCTCCGGTCCAACCGCTTTGCAGTTATACATAAACACAGCCGCAAAGGCCTTGACGAAAGGCTAGCGTAAGGCCGTCATTGGCAACAACAAAATAAGCGTTTCGTCAGATCAAATTGAACTAATTTATTTATGATGTGTGTTGCAGCAATTGTTTGGCATGCACAAGAGTTTATCCACTACAAATACAGGGTGAGGGTTCCCCTCGTTTTTCTGTTTTAAAATTTTCTCCGAATGACGCAATCTACATTCAGAATTTGCATCTTGGCATGAAGAGAAAAAAAGCCCTTTTAAGCTTGTTATAGTTGAGCTCTGAAGACAAAAGAAACTGCGTTCGATTTGGATGCTTCCATATTTATTTGAACAGATGAAATCAGAGAAAAATATGATTTACTGAGAGGTGCTCTTTTAACAGCTGACTGAACTATTTAGGTCCACATTAGGCGGGGTTGGAAGGAGTACAATGGAAATGGGTTGTTTTTTAACAAGCTTGTTCGTTTTATTTCCTGTCTAATTACTGCAGGAGCAAGGCACATGCCGTTGCCATTATCATTGTGATATGGGTGGTGTCTCTGTCAAGTCAGAGCCCGGCTGTCGTGGTTGCAGATGTCGTTGTCATGCCTGTGTCGCACCGTGCGCCAATTACCCCCGTCTGTCTGGAGAATTGGCCCACATACGAGGCCGTGCGAGCCTTCAAAGGCGTCAACTTTGGCGCCTTCTACTGCGTGCCGCTGCTGGTGGTGTCCATCTGCTACCTGCGCATGGCCAGGGCGCTCCAGCGCAGTGCTCACTTCACGCGTGCCGAGAGCGGCGGGGAGTCGGCCCTGGCGTCCGGCCTCCAGCGTCAGCAGACCTCTCGCCGGAAGGTGGCGCGCATGGTGCACATCCTGGTGCTGGCCTTCGCCTTGTGCATGCTGCCCTGGCATGTCCTCATGTTCATCACCAGCGAGCCGTCCATCGTCCTCGACTCTACCTTGATGCTCTACCTGGGCATCTTCACCCGGCTGGCTGTCTATCTCAACTCCTGCCTCAACCCGCTGCTCTACTCCTTTTTCAGCCAGAATTTCAGGGCCAACCTGAGGAAGTCCTGTGCGTGCCTGAGCAAGTTGACGCATCGCAAGAAGATCTTCACGCCCATCGAGGTGGACTTCAAGGAGGTTGCAGGCGGGCTGGACGACAGCGCTAGAACCTCTGCCACGTCTGGACACCAGCGGTCATTTACGTCTATCCTAACAAGGGCTTGTTAACTCTTAACACAGTCTCCAGCAACGTTACGGTACCGTGTACCGATTCCAAAACGGACTTCAGAGCTTCACGGGTCAGTGAACATAAACACAGACCAAGGAAACGTAGCGAACAGCCACAGTTCCGCGTGCAGAACATTTTTCAACCACACTGGAGCTGCGAGTCATAGAAGCAAAGCACGTGACTCCCGGTCATCGACAAAGGTCGTCATTTACGTATTTGGTCCTTACCCAATGGTAACAATAGTCCTATGAATGACGTTTTATTACTGTGTGACATACGTTCTGTAAAATCATATTTACTTAAGTGCATATTTATCACTCATTTCTCAGCGTTCGAATAGGCTTAATTGGAAATTTTGAGACGCTTGGGGGCGGCAAGCATACCGGTCCTCTGTAGCAGTTCTGATAGCTGAGCGTTGTTTTACGCATGCATGCATAGGCCGTGTCAGAAACGGGCGTCCAGAGAGCTACGGCTAGATTTATTGTCTACGCGTCTCCACGCATTTCCAATGGAGTAAAACCTAGCTCTAGCTCTAGACAGTAGATGCAGCCATAGTTTTGGGCACGTATAATACTGTGAAAAAGACCAGTCGTATGTCTGCTGCCACAAGCGTCCTAAATTCTCCCGTTAAAAACAAAATACACGTGTCTATATTTCTTAAGGAAAAAACTTTTGTCACACATCTTAAGACCAGTTTGCTGACTGCAAACTGTTCAGTGATAACAGCACTTTTACAACGTGCCTTTGGCTTCTTGTCCCTTCGAAAATGGCACAGGACAATTAAAAACAGAAGAAAATGTACACATAAAACAGTCGTTGATTGTGGCGTCATGACCAAGCCACAAACGCCTGCGGAAGAATCAACACGTTTGCAGTTTGACTCCCACTTTAGGACACGGTAAACAAACTAGTTGGCTTGACTTCATCCGGACCAAGCGGGTTAATGGACTGCCACAAATAAGGAAAACTTGAAGGCGAGAGACGGGTGAACAATGCATACAATTATTAAAAGAATAAGGATAATGGAGAATTACAGCACTAGAGCTGAGTGCGAGTGAAAAGTTGGTTGGAGGGATGCCCAAAGGACTGAGAAAGAGAAGGAGAGTTAATCCGATTCGACGCCATTACTGCGGTGGCACCGCACTCACACTCACATTCTTTAGCTTGATGTGTACGTGCATATGGCAAATCACGATACCTTATTTGTCAAGGAGGCATGTAACGCGCACGTACCGCCTGTCCACGAGCGTTGTGCCGCCGCAGTAATGCCTTTTCATTCTGGTCGCCGGATTCTATTGGGGTACAGAGCAAGTGGGCAAGGCCATGATGATAACGACGATGGTAAAAGTTGAAACGGATAAAGCGCAAAGAGACATAAAGTGGAGGCATAAAGCAGTAATTCAAAGAAGGAAAGGGTAAATTATTATTACTCAAAGAAAGAGGGGATTGTTGATGTGCGAGTTGCCAATGATGAGGCAGGGATGAAACAAGAAGAGAAACTGGACTGCAGGCCGAATCAGAGAGTGGAGTCATTGATCGGTCAGGGCGCCAATCCAATGGAATTTGATTTTCGATCTGATTTAATGACTCCTCTGAGCAGCCGGATGCTGTTTCGCGGTAGAATGAATTCGGTAAGCGCTAATTCAGCCCAATATTCAATCAAAATGCTGCAAACGAGGGGAAAAACACTCTGCTTCCTCAACCCAACCCCGGCAATGAAGGGAAAATTAACCCCAATGGGCCTTATATAGTTCGCAACATGAAAGTTCTTATTTTGGCCGAAAGGTGTTATTGCGCTTCTGGCGAGAAAAGGAGATTCCGCCGAATTTTGGAAAGTGCAGATTAAAACAGCGTTGTCTTCAACAAACCTCAGGCAGCGAATTGCCGAAATACGGTCCCAGCAAACGAGGTAGCCATAGATGATCAGAGATTGTTCATCATTTTGTTTTTACACTTGCATGCGATTGTTTTTTCTTCAAAAGTAATCGTCTCGTATTTTCAAGAAATAATGTAGTGCTTAATTTGTACCATTTAAATTCGTGCACGAATATTTCTCACTTTTCGCCTCACATTTGCACGTGATGGTTGTGTGTGTTTATTAATCAATTTTAATTATAGTGTGTGTAGCCTAACTATTTCCGAGTGCTTGACTACGCCGTGTTTCGATTTGTCTGAGTTCACAAATTATTATTCAGGTAACAATTTTTGCATGATTTGGTATAAAATATCGTATATGAAACATTGAAGGAAAATGCTTATCAGTATTAAATGTAGCTTCGTGCTAAAAACAAAAACGCTGTGCCTAATTAAGCTGAAATCGGAAAGGAATCCCACAATTTGAATCACAAAACTCCGTTTCCGATTAATCAATCATGTATTGATCATTTAATCATCCATGTATACTGCCTTTGAGCAATAATGAAGCTAGCACTCGAGGCAGCTAAACGAAATCAAATGAGATCATAGCGTGTTGAGGTCAGTTTTTGCTCGGTCCGTGGGAAGAACCTATGGTGACGCTGCAACCATAGATGTATGTACTGCTGGGTGAAAGGGTCAGTCGGAGGAAATGAACAGCCGGAGAGAGAGAGAGAGAGAGAGAGGGGGGGACCGGGCGTGAGTTCGCTGTGATTGAGAGATTTCTTGTCTTGAATGGTGGAGTGGAAACATTTTTTTTACATCTATCATCGGAATAAGAGCACAGATGGAGGGTAATAGGGCAGGATAGAGTTCAATTGATAAAAGAAGATATTGATACATAAAGCCGGTCAACCGTGCCTGTGAACTCTTCTAACACGTTGATTTCTTAAATTAAGAAGACAGTTGGGTAGTCTGGAGTTGTCCATTGCTGGACGGCTTGATTGAGGGTAGAAGGGAATTTGTTTGGGGCGCCGATCTCAATTCTGGTACATGATGTTGTATTATTGAATGCGCTTCTGGCAGCTGAACAAGTTGTGAACACTGCCCATTCCACTTGAAGCCACTTTCTGCCATTTTGGTTCCCTCAAACTGCTGTGCTGTTATCTTTTTCAAGTAACGACGTACACCCGGTGCTCAACTTACAACGCGTACACACGATGCTAAACTTGTAATTGGGATTGTAATCTTATACGAGCCTGTTTTTATTTCAATTTTCAGCTCGTCAAACTTGGAAAAAAATTGGAACATAAAAGCACAGGCGCGTTCTGAAACAAGGAAGTAGTATGCATAAGGTATAGAGCACCGAAGTGACTACGTCACACACACAGTTCTGTGTGAAAAGGGGAATACGGCGAGAACCAGTGCGTGCACCAAATACCCGCGCGTACCCATTCATTTGCATTGTACTGGTTCAAGATGACGTCACACTTCGGTAATCCATACCGGATATGGTACTGCACACCTGAACGCGCCCGACACTGCACGTGTCGTGGGAGAACATGTTGGAAGTGGCTTCGGCGTGGGTGTTTCCAGCCTGTCCGATATCAAAGGTGGTGCTCAGGTCAATAATTATTGAATTGCATCCCTGTATACGAGAACATACGGTAATTATTATCCAAGTCAATCAAGTCAGGTGACCACTAACCTTTTGTCCTTTTCCTCACACCAGTACAGCAACCGTTGCACTCGATACCCGTTTCCCCTACAGCTCCTAAAGATTCAGCTGTAACTTTTACTCTTGATTTTCCATTCCTTTCAACGTGCAGTTGACTTACCTCTTTCCACTATAAAATGACCTGACTGCTGGAAAAACCTTGATACGTGTATTGATAATAATAAGATAGTAATTCCCTTTTATCGTCAGGAACTCAGCCGAGTTTGAAAGGGCTAGTTTAAAACCAGTCCATCACACTTTTGTTCCTATTCATAAATACGTTTTTTCACCGGACAAGTAAAAACAAGACAAAGTTCATACTTTTCAAACAGTTTTGTTCACCGATTTGGTGTCTTGTTTTTTTTTCAAATGTGTACCACTGTCGCCATAGTTAGTCTATAGAATTTGCCTCTTACGCAGGCAGTGTGAAAATTTCCCTATAGAATAATCCGCCGATATGAAATACACGCCATTGATGCTGGCACTGCGTTCGTAAACAGGTGTTGTGCGCTCGTTACAGAACTCTTATAGGAGGCCGTTTTCCAATGCCCAACTTCGTCTCCGTCTCCGAAACCAATCCCCGATTGTGGGCCTGAAGCGTTTAAATTAAATTGAAGTACAGTAAGTGTTGGCTCTTTTGCTTCTTAATTGAAGTTTGCGGCAGTATCAGACTTGCTCTTGCGCTTAGGTAGTAAATAAAACAGTTCAAGCCTGAAACGGAGCCGCAGTCGAGTATTGGAAAAACGACCCTGATTTGCCAAGATGCACGCGCAACTCACATCAATGTGTTGTGCCACCGCAGTTTACGATGTCTCCTCAGATTAAGCCTGGTTTCCGACGTGAGAAACGTAGAGAGCAACGCAATCAAGACGCAAATTGCAACGCAGACAAACGCAAACCAGCCCCAGACGGATCGGCAAAAGTTGAGCCCGGTTCAACTTTGCCGAGTGTCAGCGTCAAGTCGCTGAGTAGGCCTTTACAAACACACACGCTGGCATGACGGGCGTACAACGATGTCTCTCTCGCTTAGTACCACTCATTCTATCCATTTTCTCCTTGTTGCTAGCATATGCAGCCCCAATCATCGACAAATAGCTGACCATTAACAAAATACATCAAACTGGAGTATCAGTTTGGCTTCAAGAGGCAGCATTGCCACCTAAAAAGGCATTTCCCCCAAATTTTCTGAGTTTTGCACGCCGCTTTGTTTATTTTTTTGGTGGAATGACGTCACACAACGTTTCTTCCGCGACTGTCATTGTCTTCACGTATTGCAGACCGTCTGCGTTATAAACGACCATTTGGAAACCAGGCTTTACTCTATTGGTACATGCAGAACGTGCTGCGCGATGTGACACGGGTGAGCCACTGTACAGTGACATTCCGACTCTCCGAATGTGTGAGTCTACGTTGTATTGTGCATGCCTACGTGAAGACGATGACTGTGGTGTATGGGGGTTCTACTCCACACAATAGGAGTCAACAGTTTCATCTCAAACTGGGAAAGTATTTAAAACCACTGGGTGCTTTCATAATTTGTTAAAAACCTTCCCATGTGACGGTCCCGACCACTGGGATTGGATAAACTGCCTGATTAATTCATAAATTCCATTTTGTGGTAGCTGTATGTCAAATATCTGATTAAAAAGAACCGTCTTAGTCCTGATGAAAAGTTCAAATCAATACTACACAAGATTACAAAGAAATAAAAAATGGACAATTAAGTTACAAAATAATCCACGGTGGGCATCGACATGACCGGTAACTATACACGTATAAATCTATGTACAGTTGTACAGCACCAGATAATATCAAAGTGTGAATATAATCTATAAATGCATAGCAAAGAACTATATCGGCACTTTAATGAATTATATTTTTGTGTTTCTAAATTAATTCATGGTTTTCTCAAGTTTGTATATCAGATTTTCTTACGTGTGTACTCAGATAATCTTGATGCTGCCTGAAGGAAGCAGGAATAAATGTTTTGGTAAGTTATGTTATTGTGGACATGCGTGCCAATGCTCTAAATATAAATTCGTGTGACGTCACTAGACATCCACGTCCACCAGTACATGGCGCAGCCTAGTCTACCTGCACAAGGTTTTGGCTGCATTTAGGACAAAACAGTGCCAAGAGGCAAATTAAAGGTACAGTCCATCATTTATCATTTGTGCATTAGGTTTATTTGCAGGTAACAAAATTACTCAAAACAGTAAAGAAAGGCATGCCTGAGAACAAACCTGATGAAGTTTCAGCCCAACATTCTAGAATTTCGATTTTAGATTGTAAGTTGCTGCGTCATGTTTTGAACTGCGCGTAAGTCAGTGGCGGGGACACATTTCATGTCCAGTCGAATACATCATTTTTACAGCTACGCGATTTGACGCACTGAACCGTGTTAACCGCGTGTGTGTGTTGTGTATTTCTACGAGCAAATTTCTAAAAATGCGTCTTCAGGCGCATTGTTGCAAATGGCTCTCTTTCATTGTTTTCTTCAAAACGACAGCTGGCAGAAAGAATCATTCACAGGTATGTTTAGTCCCATAACCAGCTTTAAACCAGGTACGCTTTTCAACGATTTCGTCAGTTACTTTTGGATGATTACAAGAATGGACTGTACCTTTAAAACGAGCGGTTACAATAAACCTGTTTGAGAGTGGTCATAAAAGTAACGGGCATTTACAACCTCACGCAGGGTTGTATCGCAACTGAGCGGCTGCGGCCGGGAGTAACTCACAACTGTATGGGAAATGGTTGCAAGCCGGTACGCAGTGGCTTCCATAGGTACACGTGTTATTCCCGGCCGTGGCCAAGACAGTGTTCGGACACAGTTTTGTTAAGTCTGCTGCCACCAAGAGTCTTAATGTATGATAATTCTTAACGGGTATGTGATTATATTGTACAAGTCACTTAATGGTAATACTCATCCTACAAGAAACGTTGAAATTGAAATGTGTCGTATCTGTGAAGAGAATGAAATCTGTGATTAAAAGTGTACTTTTAAATTGTACTGTAAACATTTTGACTTCTTCAGCACACTGTACACGAAAAAATTAAATAAAATTGTCACTTGAAATAAGTATTTGCCCGTTTTCTTTATAAACCTGCTTTTCAATGTTAATATTATTCGTAGTCAGCTATTATAAGTTTAACAAGCTATCTTTGCGTTCGTTTTATTCTCGTTGCGACACTAAAAGTGCAAGTAACCATTATCAAAACTTGTTTAGGGAAAAAACAGTTTGTAGCATTAATCCATAACCAGCGTGCTAAAACCTTTTAACAAGCTCACATCAAACATGAGAGACTTGAGACACGCTTTGGCCTGACGTCATCCTGACGTCCTTGCTATAGTGGCTCCCCGCAGGCCAATGCAATTAATGCCGTACGCGAGGTTGCCGATAACCAGCGACACATTCAGCAATCCGTACGCGTGTGCGGTGAATGATGCTGCCTGTTCTCTCAGAAAAGCCGGTGACAAAAGTAGGCCTGTCATTTCGCTTCCGGGGGAAGAACTCCAGAGAAATGTTGCAGTTTTTTGGAGGGACTTAATGACGCCACATCTATAAAAGGGGGAGGGGTAAGAATTCTTTCATGGATGAGAAAAATTATTTGGACAGTTGGTTTTGAAAAAAAAATCCATTTTGCCGCCACCAGAAAAAGACTTGTTTGCGCCTAAACAGCAAGAATGGAAAACGGTATTCGGTGGAAAGGTCTTAAACATTAATCCCAACAGTCAGGTAAGACAGTTTCCCACAGTTGTGTCCAGTTGTGGTTTTAAAGTTTCCACTGTGGCTCAAGTAATGGACCTTTCCCACAAAAATTATGCAAATAAGGCAGGTGCATGCGCATTACTACCACTGGTTGGTGAAGTTGCTTGAACCTATGACGTAACAATTAAATAAATAAATAAACAAATAAATAAAACACAAATCTCCAACTATGAGCACGTACCGTACACTCCGTTTCTGCAGTATAGTTTGACACGAGTGCTAAACTTAAGAGACAAGGAATTGTTACTTTCTAACCTCAGGACAATGAAAACTTCACTTGAAAATGAAAAGCGCGCTGAAGTATCTGACAAAGGCTGTAATACAGTTTTGATTGTCGTTCAACGCGCCAGGTTTATTATTTTTTTGCACACACTGGCCAACCAGTAGTAGCGCGCATGCGCCTGTCTAATTTGCAAATATATTTTGGGAAAGGTCCATTTGAGTAGCGTCCAGAGCTCAATCCGAACGAACGTTTGATTAATTGTGCCCATGCAAATTAATTTTTATTGGACTCCTCGTGCTAGCAGATTGGAGCCCTTGGTCTTATTGAACCCAAGACTGTTGACTGCGTAGCTTCCCGACAGATGAGTTTGTCACATGATGTAGACGCCAGCTGATAGACCTCTTCACTAATAAATTCATAATTATGCACGCATGCGCACAAACGGCCTTGGCGGCAAAAAGTGTGAGCGGGCCATTGAAAATGATTGTACAGGGGTGCGACTTCGATTGTTATTTTTCTCAGGTTTTCTGACTTCTTTTCATTTTTTTGTTGAAAAAATCCCATCCAATTTTTGTCGCTATTAGTTTCTAATTTACGTGGAATTTTTAGTGCGCTGTAAAAAGATTTCAAAATCGTAACTTTCCTGTGCGCACGAGATCGTCGTTTCTTAGTATGGCCCCCTTCCATCATAAGCAGTGTAAACTACAACGTTAGTGTTCTTGGAGCCAACCTGTGGCTATCCAGGTGTGGCAATAATGACAGTTTGGGCCATCAGAATCTGCAGTTCACAAACGCATGTTTCATGTAACCCGGTATCCTGAAAGTACCTGAGAATTCCGGCATGGTCATTTATTTTATTTAGTTAAGTTTTTCTGGTAATGAAACCAAAGATTCCTCAAAAGTGCCCTAGGCACTGTAGCTCGAAAGCCTGAAGAAACGTGCAGATAGGAGACAATGAGAAGAAGTGACGGTTTCAGGAAAACCCCAGAAGAATACTCTGGGCAAAACCCCCGAAATCAGGCAGGGGCTGAAAACCCAATCCACATGTGGACCGGGCCGGTATTCAAACCCGGTACCACAGAGGTGGGAGGCCAGGAAAGAACCACTACGCCAAACCTACCCCCAAACCCAGTTAGTGAGTTAAAGCTAAACTAGTTAAGTAAATTAATTAGTTTAAGTAAATGTTTATCAATTCAGTTTTTTCCTCTAGGCACGGTCCACCACATTTAATTCGAAGTATGGCGAACACAATAGGAGGGCGTTACTTTGAAGTGGGTAAATTTTGAACCAACACCAAAGATGTTACCCAAACCACGTACCTCCCTCCCATTGTGTACGCCATACTTCAAAAAAAAAGGCCATTTTGGAAAACATGAGTGGTTTGGCGGAGTACAAACGTGTTAAACAGTAATAACGTGAGGACAAATTCGTTGCATGGTTGTACTGGATGTTCTATAGCAGAAGAAATCGTCCCCTCAATGCAGTGCCGGCCAGGGCACATAAGGCTATGCAAGCTTTGAGGAAAGCACATTACCCATAAGAACACTTGGCATCGTACCACGTAAGAACATCCAAGCTGGCTAAGTACCTTCGCCTAATGGATTCACAAACAGGTGCAGTACGTGCCAGCAGATAGATTTACTTGTGCGATAATGCGTCGCTCTAGAAGGTGTTCTCTGTAAAGTTTCTTTAAACTGCAGTGGATGAAGTCATCGGTTCTCAGGTATAAATGAATACATACACAATGTATTCCGTCGTTGGCAAAGTTTGAGACAGGTCCGTGGTGTGTGAGGTTGTCAGGAGGGAAATTACAAAGCAAATGCCACTCTTGTATACAAGTTGTTTGAAACCCAAGGCCAAACTAATCCAGCGATTGATGAGACTTGTTTATACAGGGGCGAAGTCTCAACAATCTCGTTTTGAAGCACATTTCGCGCAGTTTGTCAATTTTCTCTGACGTACGCGTTACACGTTACTGGAATCTTGATCACCATGACTACCCCGTCCCATTCTCTGGAGTGCATGAGACGAAAGGCAATTCGTGATCACGTGGCGCAAATTACTATGTATTTCTAATTGCTGGCTTCGAGACACCAAGCTTTGCCCATTGGCTCTGCTTACTGCAAAACTTGAGTTCGATTGACGAGGATTCAGGGATGTGGCAGTGTGTTTTGATGCGAGAAAGGTGTATTACATTGAAATAAGTGATTCTGTTCTGCTAAAATACAGGTCAAAACATATTCATGTGTACACGTTACGAATCGACAAATGTCAGTGTTACATAAATTATTGTTGCTAGATTCCGTAACTATCCAAATAACACAAAATAGAGGCCACTGGTCTCTATCAGATTGATTTGTATAGAGAAAAGTTAACAGATACTTGAAAAGGAGGTGTTGTATTTCAGCTGCAGCACGCAAGCAGTTCACTGAAGCAAACCGTATAGTCAAAGAATTCGGACTATACAATGTAGGCCCTAGATGCTAGAAGCCGTGGTCAAGAATCATCACGACCACGCTGTCAATGACCGCAAAGTCGGCGCAAAGCCTTGGACACGGCTCTACCTTCGCCCCCCCATCGCGCTTTTTATCCCAACTGTACTGTCAATATCAAAGGCATCTTTCGTACAGGGGAACCAGGCTGGCCAACTCGATTGGCAAACGTGTTGAGCTTTATTGACGCGGTATGAGTGACAAATGATTGGTAATCCAATCTGACAAAGCTTCTTCATCGCGCAAGTCGAGGTCCGGATGGATTTCGAAGACATGCAACGGGGATCTTGTTGATCTCGTTAAAATGACAAGCTTGTCTGAAGTTGGCATTCCATCACAACACTGGAAAATGTCAATTACAATCTGAACAGAGATTTCTTTATTGGCCACGGGGAACCACACAACCCAGGGGCTGGTTTTTGAGCAAAAGCGAGCACACTGTCTCTGCAGTGATCGTCATCGCCAGGGGCGTTCCTACGGAAGCCCATTAGAGCTAACTTGAACTATGCAAAAATATTTCTTTTATTGCGAAATAACGCAATAACATTGCGAAATAACGCAACAGTTCTACGGACATGTGGGGCGCGTTCACGCGGTTACTCTGGTTAGCAAGAGTAGGATGCGTGCGCATTATACCCGGGTGTAGGAGTATACTCCCCCTCCAGCGAGAGTATACACTCGCTCACCCGTGGGTCGTACTCCAGCCGTTCGAATGCTCAGGAGTGCCGTGTTAACACGAGTAGCTCGCTCGAACGCACCCCCCCCCCTCGCTCGAACGCACCCCGTGCGTCTGCTCCAGTGTGAAAAGAGCAACATCAACAATCAATGACTTATTCGTTGTCCTGGACAATCCGTGATAGGCCAAATTTTAGAGTCCTTAAACTTACGATGATACCATGATTTACTGCCAAAAACCACAATATGTGATCATAACCCAAACCAAGAGAGAAGTAGGGCTGACGAGTTTGCGTTATGTCATGCTCAGCTTTCCTCGTCGATAACTGTTTCACAGGGAATTACCTGTAATGCTCACTTAAGGGTGCGTTCGAGCGGCTGGAGTGCGACCCGCGGGTCAGCGACAGTGTACTCTCGCTAACGAGGGGGGCATACTCCTGCACCCGAGTATAATGCGCACGCATCCTACTCTTGTTTACCGGAGTAACCGCGCGAACGTGCCCCAAATGGCCGTGTAACTGTTGCGTTATTTCGCTGGACTATTGCGTTATTTCGCAAAGTTATTGCGTTATTTTGCAATATTTTTTTGCAAAACTTGAAAATATGTTTTCTTAAAAATTAAACGCCAGTTCATAGTACGGACGAATGTGGCAGCAAAGCGACTTTGACTTCACGAAAGATTTGCAGCAAAACATCGCTGGAGTTGAATTGTGTTCATTTTTTGCGAATTTGCAGCGCGAAAATTTGATGAGACGTTACAATTTTGCGTTTGTGTTAACTTTCGGGCCAAGTATGACCTGGCCTTTACTTGGAAAACATCTCTCATAAAAACAAACATGACCACAAATAGGTATATCGCAAAAAACGATTTGATTCCCAAAGTAGACACTACGTTTCTAAAAGTGCATCTCATAAGAAAGAACTGGAAATTCGAGAATATATATCGTTCAAACAAACTTCGAAAAATACATCTCGAAAAAAACGAAGAAAAATACTTCATAAAAACAAACTTTGAAAAATGTGCTTTAGAAAAACTTACTTGAAAAAAAATATAGTTCAATTTTGGTGAATGGCACTACAGGGCTTACGTGGTACATGCACTTCAGGCGACATGTTTTCTTTAAGCATCCTGGTGCCCGCTGTAATAACATTTGAAGGTTTGCACAGTGGATTTCAATGAAAGGAATACGTTTGCGGTAAAAGGATGTGGGAAATCATTTCCAAGGGTTTGTGAAATGAAGAGAACAGTAAGCAACTAACTCACATTTTGTCACCATACAGGCCTATTCATCTGAGGCCTGTATATTCTGAAGGATTGCAGACCTCCCCCCTCCCCCCTTATCGGTGAAGCAGTGCACCGGGGTAACACCAAGGTGTCAAAATAAGCCTTCTGCGAGATA